AAATATGTTTATTATCTATGAAGTTCAGGTGAACGCTGACTCCTCTTGTTCATAGGTCAGTATTGGTAGCCCGTCCTATGACTCAGTACCCATAAAGTAGCCCTCAGCCTTAAAAAAGTTAGTGACCTCTGGTCTAGTATTTCCCACTGATTTTGCTTGTAAAGCGGGGAGAATGGCACTAGGCTTACCAATTGTTACATCACTGCCGGAAGATGGCAGGAGGGAGGGGTTACTATATCTGGGCAAAAATGGCCGCTTCCAGACTCAGTGAAAATGATTGTTTTCATTTTTTTACTGATTAACGCTAAATCCATTAAAGCGCCGCAAATGTATTAGTTTTAGGTATAGATAATGATCCATCGATTATTCCTTGCTGACCAGACTTTTCCTTGAAATAAAAAATATGAAACCAGTACCTCCAGTTATAATATTTACTCTTCATTGTATATTAGATTGACCTCCAGCAAAAGAGTAAAAGCAAAGAGTTTGGGACAGTAAAACATCTCCTAAAAGCCTCTATGTCTCACAGCAGTCTGGATTACTTCAACCAGCAGTCAGATGATCGGATCATTCAGACACTATCTATTCATTGTAGCTTTAGCAGTACTGTCATCTTAATCCTATATTATCTAGTGTTGCTAAAAGTAATAGCCTATAATATTTACAGTGACAGCACTGTCTATTTTTTATTTTTTTTGGTTCCCAAAAACTGCAAAGACATGTTTAGAAATCTTCTAGGCAAGAACAACAGCAAATAAAAATAGTTGAATTCAGTTGCTAAAAATCAGATGTAGTTAAATAAAATGAGCAATAAAATCTTAAGCACATTTCAGTTCAGATTATTTATATTGGCCAACTCACGACACATGCCATGTCATGAAACTTTGCAGAGACAATTTACTCAGATCATACAGTCAAATTGATTTAAAGTTTTTTGTCTTAGAAAAACCAGTTGATTGCATCGACTCATTGACTCTTCAGCAATCCCTCACACTAAGAGTGCTTGTAGCAACACTGAAGAGGAAAAACTACCTTTCAACATGAAGAAACCTCCAGCAGAACCAGGCTCAGTGTGAGCGGCCATCTGCTGAGGCCGACTGGGGTTCAAGGAGACAGAAGCAGAGATAGAAAGGGCAACTGTTAACCAGCTCCACAGGCGGCTCCATTCCGGAAACACAGCCAGGCAGATGAGCTCCTAGCCAGCTCCCATGTCAGAGGATGAAGAGAGCACATCCAGTTAGCTACAGTCAGGGAAACAGGACTACACTGGAAAAATAGGCAGAGCTAAAACATCTATAAACAAAGGTGTTAATTAAAGCAGCACAGCTGATGTTTGTTTCCTGGATGGAGTCACAGCATAACAGAAAAACCAGAAAGAGATTAACGTTAGCGATTGAACTAGCAAATTCTGCAGAGTGGGAGAAGATATATAATGAAGTAGAATGATGAAAAAGGGGTCCCTATGTCCTCCAGCAATCTAAGCCTATAGCAGCATAACTATAGAGATAGTTCAGGATAACCTGAGCCACTCTTTAAGCTTTATCGTAAACAATAATGTCGAAGACTAGCTAACCGAAACCAAGTAAATGGTTTAAATAACATAAGTAATTTACAGTTTAAACATTTGCTCTTAAAACAATCTTAATGTATGTTACTATATGTAAAATATCTATTGAAAAAAAAATCAAATCAAGCAACCTTTACCCTTATTATCTTCTTATGTTTATCTGTTCTTCTTACACCCTCCTGAAAACCTGTTTTCTGGCTGCTCTTTTATCACTGAACTGGAAGAAATATTCTTTAGATTTATGTTGATTTAAAGTTGTAAAAGTGTTCCTTCCAGAAGCCACAGTGTGAGGAGTGAAGGCTATCGGTAGTACATCAGTGAACTTCCATCGTTCCCCAAATGTAAGTTTGTCTCTGACAAATAAAGAGTATTCCTTTGTCATGATGGCCCCAAGACCAAAAATTATATTTACAGGCCCCCATATGGCTCTGGAGTATATATCAGAGTATATTTTGGTCTAAAAGTGACTCAAGTTAATATACCTGAGTAAAAGTCACTAGTTAGATATTCTGTCAGGTTTTGGTTGTGGTTTGAGGACCCAAATGTAGAGGCAGGGAGGCAGTGAGTTTCTTGTTGATTTAATGAAATGTTAACAGACAACTGAGGCAGGAATCCAAAAATCAAGCATGAAAAAAGTAAAACAAACCTTATATATGATGGATGACAGAATAAGGTGTAACACCAGCAGTCAGCCGGCGGGAAGCAGGCTGTTTGTTGAAGATGGTCTTTGGACATTGAGGACCCTCCTGGTCCCCTATCAGGGATTCCCAGCACTACTGAGCTGTTGTGACTGACATTATATCACAATTTTCCAATGACAATATTTGAGAATTTGTGTATGAATAATTTACACAAAAACTTTCTGTATGTCTGCTTCTCAGATGGCCGCTCACCCTGAGCCTGGATCTGTTGGAGGTTTCTTGTTGTTAAAAGGGATTTTTCCTCTCCACTGTCACCACAAGTTTGCTTGGTGTGAGGGATTGCCTTTGTCAATGAGTCGATGCAGTCAACTTAGATTTAAAACTTTGAACCAATCTGACTGTATAATCTGTTTGAATTGTCCATGTAAAGTGCCTTGTGATGACGTGCTGTGAATTGAACTGACCTATTAAGACATATAAAGAGAAAATGTCGACCTTTTTACAAATTACACTCCACAGAAACATGCTGCCTGTTTTTAACAGCATTCAAGTTGGACGCGGTGAGGTTTTATTTAAATGTCTGAGGCTGGAGGATGCGAACACCACCTCCTACTTTAAGCTCCACATTTTGACCTCCATCTTCTTCAGTCTCTGTAACAGATAAACCCAGCGCCTTATTCTGCTCTGCTGGTTGATTCTGATGTAAGGTCCAAATAAATGAGACCTGGAACTTTGATGGTGAAACTTCTCGGACATGGTTGCCAGGATACTTGAGAGGCTTGATTGAAGACTTTGATCCCTGGCCTGCATAAAAGGTGCCTGTTCTCCCTGTGCATGAGTGGGATCTCTCCAGGTACTCTGGCTTCCTCCCACAATCCAAAACCATGACTACCAGGTTAACTGGTGGATCTAAATTGTCTTTATCTGTGTGTTACTGTGCTTCTATTTTGGTATCAGAGTGAGGGCCAGTTTTGCAGTTTCACTATCAAAATGAGGACATTTTGCCTGTCCTCATTTCCTTATTTGCTAACAGTTTTAGAAGGTTTAGGTTATTGTCAGGATAACAGCATAGAAAGAGCAGGAAATGACTGAAAAACATCAATGGAAGTCAACATGTGGTGTCCACCTCATATAACAAGAGGAGAATATGTGTGTTTCTGTGTGCTGGTGGAGATTCTCAGATTCTCAAAAAACACTGGACTTTGTTTTCCAAGTATGAAGACGTTTCACTTCCCATCCAGGACGTTTTCAATTTAAAATGTCTGGATCAGCGTTGAGTTCCAGGCTTTTATAGAGTAGCCAAAAAAAAGGACCTTCGTTTGAGGACCAGAACGTTCACATTTTAGATAGACAGGTGGTTTGAAAGGGGTGTGAAGAAAGCCATTTATTTTAAAAGAGAAAAAACAACCTTTATCAGAGGAGGTGGACAACAATGCAGCGATACAGTTGATTCCTTCCCAATACCCTCTCAGCCCCCATTATTATGCATGGGAACTAAATATTCACTCCCATTATTATGGGCTGCACATTGAATCTGTTTTTCCAGCTTGTTTTTTAAGTCATTACAAGGCTTTTTTTGGGCTACTCTCTAAAAGCCTGGAACTCAACGCTAATCCTGACATTTTGGATTGAAAAAGCCTCCTGGATGGGAAGCAAAACATCTTAAAACTTGGAAAACAAAGTCCAGTGGATTGTTTTTAAACTTTTTGGACTGCATCTGTGTGCCGTACTGTGATCTCATTAGTTTGTCCCCTGGAGCACCCTGTAGTTCCAAGAAGTTCTGTCAATAATAAACCTTGAAGCAAGTTGGTCAGGAAGTTGCTACATTCACTGCTGATAAGAGAAACCCTGAAGGTTAAAAAATAACTCCTCCTTTTCTTATACATGGAGCCAGCAGCTCGTCACATTGGACTTTGCCTTCTGTTAATGTTTTGCTAATGATTTAAAACTTGGCTGGATTTATTACCTTCGCCAAGGAGCTCATGTTTTTAAAGTTGGTCCGCCTGTGAACAGCATAACTAGAGAAGTTAGGAACAGATTTAAATGAAATTTTTACCAAAGGCACACCTCAATCCAAGGAACAATTCATTACATTTGTGTGACGATACACATCATAATCCAAATGCAAAAACTTCAAGGATTCTTTGACATTATTTGGTGGAACAAGCAGTTCCTCCCTAAACCAGAGTGGCAGCAGTGATTGAGAACGTCTGCATTTTTTATTGTACTGAAGACAAAAAACACAGAAAAGGTGAGCCAGGCCTCATCATAGAAGAAAGCAGAGTGAATGAAGGTGCGCAGAACATTAGCCAACGATCAGGATCGAGTTTTAGCTGTAAGTCTCAATATGGGGCAAACGCTGCAGCTTGGCAGAGGGCTGCGTTCTCCCACCGCTTTGTTTAGTCATCACTGAACTAAACGCACCACTGCAGCCATGTTTCTGGTCTTCTCTGAGGACCATCATTCCAATACAAAGGAACACAACCCGTAGGAGAGAACCCATGTTTGGAGAACAACGCCAGTCAGTCCAGTTTTTATAGTAAAAAGTATTTATTTAAACAAGGTTTCAAAAACTCAATACATTCACAGATATACAGAAACATCAGAGTTCATCTGAGTTTCTCCATCAACCTGTAACAGATATAGAAAACATGTCTGCTTTGATTAGGCCGGGGTGTTACAGCTGCTCAGCCATTCTTAAAAAATAAAGTAAAAAACACAGAAGGAAAACCTTTGGCATTTACTTCACGCCGCCATCTGCTGTGGGAGTAGAATTAACACAAGGACCTCTCTCCTTTCTCACGTTTCATTCACATCTGGAGAAACTAGATCCTTTCTGAGAACGCTTCACTTTAGGGGGAAGCTTCCCTGCTGACGGTTCGTCCGTTAGCGGATTGGTGAGCAGATGCGGCGGCAGGTATTGCTTCCGTAATCCAGCCGGGTGATTGGACCGACTGATGCATACAATAAAAGGTAAGAAACGAGGTTTTGATATTTTCACATTAAAACAAAGCAATAAAGTAAAAGAATTTACAAATGTACAAATCCTGACCAAAAGGAACTACGACTGGGAGCAACGTGATCCAAGAAACTTTAAGAACCCGATTAGAAAATATTTAGTGTATTTAACCAGAACAAAATATAAGCCAATGTCCAGCTGAACAAATGACCTGAGACGGGTCAACGTGTCCCACACCTTCCCATCCAGACAGAAATACTGATTTTCTTATAAAAGGAACCTTCAATAATCGTTCTAGATTCAAAGAGCTGAGCATATGAAGCAACTTCAATCAGATGTTGTAAAGCTGAGAGAAAACAATGTTAAAAAAAGGTTGAAATGAGGATGATAGACGGGACCGACCCAGGGGCCGTAGTGTTTGGGTCTCAGGTTGATGGAAATACTGGCAGAGGAAAACACCCAGCGTTACTTTGAAAGAGTCAAACTTTTCCATTTAGTGTGGAGTAGAGGTGCAGAAGCAGAGGAAAAAGGAAGTAGGTTTTTATGAGGACAGACCTCCACGCTGCAAACAGAACCTGATGACTAAGAGAAAGACATTCAAAGCAAGCACCGCTGCAAGGCCTCTTTAAGTGCAACAGCCATTTCAAGTTAGAGCAGCCGAGGAGTCGCTAGAGCTGGACCTCCACATCTGCAGGAGCACAGCGACACCGCAGAGACCAGGAAACCCAGAATAACACGACTGTACTGGTCCAGAGAACCGTAGTAAAGCCATGTGAAAATAAATATGTACAAAGTCAAGCTGAAGAGCAGACGGCCACTTGGCTCAGAACCTACACTCTGCTCTTTATTAACATCGGGTCTAGAAGATTTGGGGGTTTTTAAAGAAGGTTTTCCGGCACACTGCTGCAGTGAGAAGTCCCTGGGAACCGGCTTATGGAAAGACTTAAATGACTCTGTAGGTCAGATAGTCCTGGAGGGGCGTGGGGATGGCTAGGGCTTCCACCTGTTGGGTGCTCAGAACCCGGCGCAGGGCCATCCTGCACATGTGCTGCAGACTGGCAACGCTGCGGGGACACTCCCAGAAGTGGACGCTTCCATCGCGGGTCCTACAGAGAGAGCAGGGAGGAAGAGGTGAATGAAAGACGTGAGGAAGGACGGACAGACTGTGGCTGATCCCGTTTCTTACCCAGCAGCGAGAACATTCCCTTCAGCAGAAAAGGCACAGCAGAGACCGTTGGACAAGGAGGCTACAGCCTGAGGAGCCCGTTCCTCAATACTCCAGAAACGGACCAACCTGAGGAGAACAGACACAGCTAGGTCAGCAATGGAGAGCTGCAGGATAAATCCAAAGAAACTATGTATAGCTCTGCTTAAAACGGGTCAAAATCACAACATGTTCTAAAGCAGAACATCTAAAACAGGAGCACAGAGGAACTCCTTAAAGGAATAGTACACCCAAAACATGATTAGCCTTCATTTTCTACTCACCCCCATGCTGAACAACACTCTGGAGTACTTTTTTGATATCTCAAATGCATCTGGAGATCTGGGAGGCTTCTTGCTGTCTGCTGACATTCAAATAATGGAGGTCTATGGTGACCGAGGCAGAAAGGTCCATAAAAGTCCACAAAAAACGTGTCAATATTCCTCCATACTGCTCGTCCAATGTATTCCAAGTGTCCTGAGTGGGTAGCATCCAGAATTTACTCAAAACGAAGTCATTTAGAATGTTTTTAGAGCATAAATAGCAGTGTATAGGATTTCCTGAAAGCGCGCACATGCGCGCTCACGACGCTACGGAAGCCGGCAGACCAAACCAGCGCATTCAGCTCGGCAAAGAACTCATGCTCTTCCTCAACACTGAAGTCCTCAGACATTTTTCTTTCGTTGTTTCTTTCTTTGCACAGGTAAACAGCACATTTCTTCTTCTACGCTTGCATTATTGGCAGAGCAGACGCTGAATGCGCACTTTCATCTGGTTTGGTCTGCCGGCTTCCGTAGCGTCGTGAGCGCGCATGTGCGCGCTTTCAGGAAATCCTATACACTACTGTTTATGCTCTAAAAACATTCTAAATGACTTCGTTTCGAGTAAATTCTGGATGCTACCCACTCAGGACACTTGGAATACATTGGACGAGCAGTATGGAGGAATATTGACACGTTTTTTGTGGACTTTTATGGACCTTTCTGCCTCGGGCGCCATAGACCTCCATTATTTGAATGTCAGCAGACAGCAAGAAGCCTCCCAGATCTCCAGATGCATTTGAGATATCAAAAAAGTACTCCAGAGTGTTGTTCAGCATGGGGGTGAGTAGAAAATGAAGGCTAATCATGTTTTGGGTGTACTATTCCTTTAAGCACTGCTTCCTTTCCAACAGGAGCCACCTGAAAGTGAGCTCTGGTAGAAGTATCTGGGAGTTCTGCTCTCGCTTCCCTCTCAGCTTATTTGTTTTGCCCTCAGCATGTTTATAGAGCTAAATCTGTCATGAGGCCACTTCTTACCTGTCATCAGTAATACTGGCGATGTGGCGGCCATCAGGGCAGAAACTCACAGAGCGGACCCAGCGGTCGTTGGCCCCTCCAGCAAAGATGGGCGACGGCGGAGGGAAAAGATGGCTGGAGAGGAAGATGGCAGAGCTAATTAATGGCTGATATAACCGTACCAGAGGACATGTTCCATCTGACCTATGGAGCGAATGGCAGTTAAACTTTCTCAGCATCATGTTTTTTGTTAGATTAACCTAATGATCAATTACTGTTCATGGTTTGTAAACTAGGGCTGGGTTATTAATTGCATTTGTAAAATAAATCACAATTTTAAAACCAGAGAGGCACTAATTTCAGGTCAGATTACAGTTAACAGCAGAACACTACGGCTGAATCCCAAACCGCTCATCTGTCACAACAGCATAGCTATAGTCAAAACCTGTTTATCCCTCTAGTTTGTACGAAAAATACACTTAAAACTACCTCAATGGGCGTGTATCCCTTTAGTCATGTACAAAAGAAAAAAAAAAGGGCAGATGGTCTTACGCTTCAAAAAACAATGAGTAATTAAATTGTGGGTAGCACTGCTGAAGGTTCTGAGTTCGATTCCCAGCCTGGGCTCTTTCTGGATACAGTTTGCATGTTGTCCCTGAGCATGCAAGGGTTCTCTGGCTTCCTCCCACTAGGGGTGTAAATAATAATTGTTTTGTATCGATGCATCGATCCAAAAGCAGACGATCCGATAAATCGATACGTCCACAAGAGTATCGATTGTTTTTTTGTTTTTTTCCTGCGGTCCATTTTTATCCATTTGCTCCTGGGCGTAATTCTCCCTCCCGTGCTGCGGTGGCGCTAAACCTATTTTGCCCTCCTACCTCTCTTCCTGGTTATACTCTTGCATTAGTGTGTTGCAGTGAGCTTGACACAGACATTTTTAAATTATGCTCAGTATTTAAGCGTGGTCTGTGCTACACGCTGTGGGTTTAGATACGGCCGAGGTGGTGAGGAAGTGGGGGCGAGTTTAGTCCGACGACGGAGGGACATGAGGGCCAAAAAGAGCGGAGATCCAGGTGGAAAAGGGTCCCAGCGGTCTCGCGCACCTTGCTCTTCTAGCGGGTCAAACTTCACGAGTTGTTTTCCGCATTTTCGGTCATAAAAACAAAACAAGCCGGCCTCCTGTCTGCGGCACTGTTTGCGGTCAGCTACAATATGGGAGAGGAGCAGCGGAGCGTCTGTGGAGGGGGCGGGATGCAACTTTTCTACTTCTGCTATTTGCTGTTTCTAAAAAAAATTTCATAACGATATTACAGCTTTCATTCATTGAAACATTGTCTAGCCTCTAAGGTGTAAAAAAAAAACAACAACTAATTAGCAATTAATCAAATAAAATCGTGGTGTATTCTTGAGTATCGAAAATAATCTAATCGTTGGGTCATGATGGATGTGATTTACACCCCTTCCTCCCACAGTCCAAAAACATGACTTTTAGGTTAATTGGTTTGTCTTAATTCTCCTTAGGTGTGAGTATGAGTGTGGATCGTTGTTTGTCCTGTCTGTGTTGCCCTGCGATGGACTGGCAACCTGTCCAAGGTGTACCTCGCCTCTTGCCCTTAAACAGCTGGAGATAGGCACCAGCAGCCCTTGTGACCCCAGCCAGGAAAACCCCAAAATCCAACATCCTCCGTCACACCACCACTGCGCTCCAGACCACATTCCAAAGCCTCTGCTGTTCCTCCTGTCTTGCTTCGCTCCGACTTCCTCTGAGATCGAGGAGAGCATACTCGATATTATTATTAAACTCATGGGAGCAAAACATGCGGAAAGGAACGCTTAATTTAATATGACCTTATAAAAAAAAAAAAATCACCATCTGCATTAAGCATATGTTCCGTTTCTGCTCTGTACGTGATCACTTGAAGTTCCTTTTTGTTTGGGTTGTAACAGGGATAAACAGGATCATACAAAACTATTTTTGTTCTCTACTTCCAAACTCAGCATCCTTCAGCCATTCCTGCAATAAGAAGTTTCTTTTGACTAGATTAGATTATACTTTTAAGCCCCTCAGTACAAAATAAATATATTGATGGAGATTTTGATGGGAGTATGTGGAATCTGGGGGTTAGCCTGACTGAGAAAGTTATTCAAGCATATTTAACAAACCTAAATAAACATAGCCTCAGATGTACTGAATAACAATATTCACGCCTTAACTGCAATTAATAATACTGGTGAAATAAATGCTTTGCAAGAGAGTAAAATGGTTTTAATGGTCACGAACTGACAGCGGTCCTTACCCCAGCTCCAAGAGGATGGTAGCCTTCTGATGGTCCCAGACGATGACCCTGGTGTCATACGAGGCTGTGGCCAGCAGGGCGCCATCAGGTGAAAACTCACAGGATACCACATCATTGTGGTGCCCCTCTAGTTTCCGGATCAGCGTGAACTTATCCATGTTCCATAGGAACACCTGCAAGCGGAAGCAAGGACTGGTTGGAGCTGATGGATTAAATGGGAAAGCAGCTGGATGCACTAAGTTCCATTTAACAGAAACAAAAAAAATCTACGACTCAATCAGACATAAATTAAACAAGGTATGCTCAGTGTCACAGAGATGACGTTAAACTAGCAGTGGCACAAGGAAACGTTTGAGTTAATCTGAAATCTACAGCAGGATATTATACTAGCATTAATGTTCAGTAAATAAACTTTAGAAATATTATTCTGGAAGAAAAAAAAAGTGAAAAAACAAAACAAATAGAAACTTAAGGTAACAAATTACTCCAGTGGTTTCTCCTTTCAGAGTTTTAGTTCAGTGTTTACAAAAGGCTGGCGTCTCCGACAGAGCCTAGGGAGAGAGACACATACTGCAAAGAGAAGAGCAGATTTTATGGCCAAAGGGCTGATTCCTCCGGCAGACAGTAGTTATATTCATGTCCACACACACGTCCATGCACACAAACAGCCATGACTCCTGCATTTAAGCTTATCAACATAGATCTAAGAGCAGAGTGCTGCTTCTATCTCTGATTTCTACAGAGATGAACTGAAACTTGATGCATAAGGAGGGGTTAGAAATACTTCCCTGCTCTTCTGTAATAAAGTAGTTCCCCTTTTGTTTCAGCTTCAGCGTTTTGCTGAATCGGTTTTTAATATTTCCAATCTTTTGCTGTTCATCTGTTATTGCTAAAAGTTTTCTGAGGGTCAAAATAAACCAGAACAGCCAATATTAAAGGATTCTGTTTCTGTAATTACATAATAACATTTAGAAATGCAGTGATAGAGATATGGTGCTCGTGTTTAACTTGAGTAAATGCGACTAAAGAGGAGTTGTTACTTTGCCAGAGGCAGCTAAAGCCGGGCATACACTGTATGAATTTTTGACCTCTTTAGGCCCATTCTCCAGTTGTGCGAGAATTTTTCAATCAAGCCAACTTTCAGCCTGATCGTCGTGTAGTGTACAGCGGGTAACGAGGGGCGATCTGCCTCTAACGACCACCTCCCTGATCAGGAATCGTAAGGTCGGGAGAAAATGCTTGAAATTCAGTCGGCCGTCTTAAGATGGTCGTGGCCAAATCGCTCAACGGGTAAACAAGGATTCTTCTTCTTCCTCTCAGATGAAAACACAGCATGGCAGGGGTGCAATGAGTGAAATGGAGTTCTTTCTGTAAATTTGACAGACCGTAGTAGCCACGTTTGCTCAGCCACGTTTTTGTCCAAATACATCATCGCCTTTTCTTTTTAAGGCTTTCAGCACAAAATTGCACAAATTCTTCTTCTGGTTTGGGTTCCGGATAGACGAGTCTAAGTAGCTTCTTCTCACTGCGGAGCTGAGTCCCACTTGGTTTTTAGAGTTTACAGTGAGAGCATGTTCAGGGTTCCTACAGCATAAGGCAAGTTAAATTCAAGACTTTTTAATGCCATTTGAAATAAAAATTTAAGACTAAATTCACAAGAAACACAAGAAAAACCTGCTTGCAACAACTTAACCCAAAGGTTTATTTTAACATAAACCACTGCACGAATGTTTCAGATTTTAAAAGCTTCCCATACAGGAAGAAAGCTAAAAACACACAAATGACAGATATATTTTAACAATTATTTAACTGAATTCTCAAACTCTGTTTTAGCAGGGAACAAAACTAATCAGTTTTAAAGCCACAACATAACCAGTGCTAAGTCTTTTTTGCAGCTATTTTTCTTTGTATGGTTTTCTTAGTATGTTTGATTTGGTGATAAGTGGAGGCGTTGCAGAGACAAGGGTGGAACTAAACTGAGAAATACCGGCTGTTTCTCTGTAATTCAATTTTGACGCTTTGTACTTTGTATTTTGTGCTTTGCATGTGCGACTCCACTGCCTTAATTCCCATCGTTCTGAGCTCGAATCACTTCATGTACAAAATCCACTGAGCCTCATGTATGTTCCCTGGTTTTAGCCATGGAGGAAACTCTTGGCTGGAGACAATTTTGGTTACATTTACACTTGCTCATATTTTCCAGACAAAAAGTTAAAGGTGCATCTCCCAAATGTCCCGGCCGCAACAACGCTTTTATTGGTTCTGCTATCGGGACGGAACCAATAATGGCGAGCCGTTATTTTTTCTTTTATAAAAAAAGAAAATTGTCAATTTTTACATTTTATTTAGATTAAACAAATAAATCGTAATAAAAAAAAATCCTATTTATGATGTTTAAAAATTAAGACCTACGAAGGACTGATTTAAGACATTTTAATACCAATTAAGGCCTTGGTTTTATTTTGAAGAATTTTTTTAAGGACGCGCTGGAACCCTGATGTAGATTGCATCACTGTTGTGTCACACAGTGTGAGAACAAACATTGTGAGCTGTGAACTTTTAAACCCTGCGGTTTCGTCGTACAGTGTGAGCTGAAGCTGCGTGCAACGATTGAAAATATGGCACAGTGTATGCCCGGCTTAAAGGCTGCCGCATTTCAACAGGAACTACTGTGTGCAGAAGGGATCTGGTGCTAGTTACAGATGGGGGGGCAGGGGTGGAGGAATACAGGCCTATCTTCACCACCAGCTCAATGAAATTATTGCCATCTATTTTAAAGTGAAATGTCCAAAATAAATAGAGGAGGTAGACAGACACAGAGCAGCACCTACGTACAGATTGACCTTGCGGGTCAGGTGCCCCTGGCCAGGCCTTTGGGCATTGTGAACTGTGCGTCCATGGTTTACACCGGCTGCTCAAATGTCAGCGCGGCGCTCCTTTCAAAACCAATCACACACTGAGCTCTGCCACCACCTGTGACAGGAAGAGCAAGACACACACTGTAGGGACACAGAGCCGAACAGAACCGCTACCATGCTCAGCCTAGTCCAGCTCTAGTTAGAGGCCGTAAGGGCCGCAAACATTCATTTCAAAATGTCATTCAAATATTATCTACAAGCTATAATATCATCTAGAAGCTTTATATTAGCAAATCTTTCATTTACAAGCTTTTTTTTTTTTTTTTTTTAAACACATCCATAAGAAGCTTTATTTTGCTTTCTGCCTAGTTTCCAGTCTGGTTATGAGCCTAATTATCTAACTGTTCTAGGTCTGTAAGCCCCAGAGGAAACTGGTGCAGACAACCAATGACACTGAGCGGTTTAATCAAGGGGCAGGAAAGCTGGAAACTTTAGCAATTACAAGGCTGATTGGAGATAACATCACAAGCAACTGAACAAAGACATCAAGCTAAAGCTCCAGGAGGAAGAAGGATGAAAACGTACCGCTTTGCCTGCGCCGACCGAGCACAGGATGGACGAGTCCGGGGAGAAGGAGCTGCAGTAAACCCAGTTATGGTGTCCCCGTAAAACCTTCACCATGTTACCTGTTGGACATATTTACATACATACATACACTCATTTAATTCAGTTACTGGATAAATGATTGGATATTAAAAGGTTTGAGGGAGATTTTCCAGAATTTGAAACAACTTTGGTAAAAAAACTGCTACTATACAGTCAAAAGGGTTTTTCCACCTTAAATGCAAAACATTGTTTTGGTCTAATTACTGCTGCATTAAAATTGTTCTTCCAGCTACTGTTGGGTTTTAGAGACTTAATCTTTATGGTTGTTGTTGATCATCAATTGATCCATCGGGTTAATTGTTCCTTATGTTTGCCGGTGGAGATTTTCAGTCATCCAGGTCATATTCATTCCAAAAAGCTAAAAAAAAAATAATCCACTGGACTTTGTTTTCCAAGTTTGAACACATTTTGCTTCCAAATTCAGGAAGATTACAGTTCAAAATGTCTGAAATAGCGCCGAGTTCCAGGCTTTTATAGAGTAGCCCACCAAAAGCTTTGTAAATGGGTTAGTTCCTTATGTCACACACAAGTCAATTTTTATTTTAATAATAGTTCTATTCAATGAGCACTAAATGCCACAATCTTCTCAGACAGGATTTTCTGTCAGATTGCTGCCAAATTGGATTCAGTTTGTTCTTGAACAAGCATCATTAAAGTTAGTAGCAAAAGGAAGAACTTTTCAATCCACCGATGGTTATCTTTCACTTTGATCTGCTGTGGGCGTCGGCTGGCCTGCAGCCGCATGGATTTATTTTCTACAGGAAGACTCTATCCGTCTCATCCACACCACAAATAAGGCTGTTTGAGCATTTCCAACTCATAACTCTGCATTTTAGCTGAAACTAAACAGCTTATGAAGGATATTAAGTGTTTAATATAAATAAAAAGACCTCAATTAGCCACAGATTCCCAGATAAGCCCACCCATCAATGCTGGTTCATAATGACCGGATTGGACGACTCACCGTCATCTTTCAGGTCCCACACACGAAGAGTCTTATCTCTGGAAGCAGACACCAACATGAGGCTGCCATCAGGAGCAAAAGTCAGGTCCCGTACAACATCAGTATGGTCCATCAGATTCAGCAGCAGCTTTCCTGGAACAGATTTAGAGCAAAAGTTTCAATCTGCTACGATAAAGCTTGGTACACTTCAGTTTGACCAGAACCAGGTTTATATGTAAAGAAACTAATCAATAGCTGCTGAGCAACCAGCAGAGGAAAAGGAGGTGAAATCTCACACTTTCTTTCTAATTAGCTGCTGGAGACAGAAAAAGATGCGGATTCCAGACGGAACTCACCAGAGTAAACATCCCAGATCTTAATGCGACCATTGTTCAGGCCTGTGGCCAGCAGTAACTGGTCTTCGCCAAACTTGAACCGGTGCCACTCGATGTTGACACAGCGGCTCTGCTTCTCCGGCACAGAGGAGCCGAAGGCAAGACCCCAGACTATGTCCCCACAGTCGATGGTGTGTTCACGGGCTTCATCAGCTAGTGCGACAGTAAGGCCTCCATCGCTGTTTTGACGGGACAAACGCCTGGGACTAGTTGGAATGGTACCTTCTTCACCAGCGCTCACAGAACTAAAGAAGATTGAGGGGAATACAGATGGGGATGGTTAGAAAGGTGCAAGGATTAAGAAAGACTTGAGACTAAATGATTAAATTCATATTATTAAGAACTCAATTAGCCACAGATTCCCAGATAAGACCACCAATCAATACTGGTTCAAAATGACCGGTTTGGACGACTCACTGTCATCTTTCAGGACCCACTTTACTCTGTTATTACCATAGCAACATGTCAGCAGGTTCATCGTGTAAAGCTTCTAAAGCAGAGGGACAAACTTCAACCTATTTATGATCAAAATGTGGCTCAATTGGTCTGGAGCTGCACCAGTCGATTGTTCTAGAAATCGACTATTGCATCGAACAATCAATCAATCTTAAAAGAGCCGTTTTGTAAATTTATAATATAAAAAATTTGGGAATAAAGAAAAAACACTTTGTGCATTTTAATTAATTGCAAATGAAAAAACAAGTAAAAAATAAAATAGACATTTCTACATATTTAATTACACACAAATTAATAAAGAAAACATTTAATATTTAATAGAGAAAATATATTCTACGTTTATGAGAGTTTTTAGTTTATATCTGTAGTTTTGCCTTAATTATTGCTGCAAATAAGTTATTCTTTCAGCAAATGGCATGTTTTACAGTCAGTCTACCATTAATCTAAGTTCGGTTCACGGTTTCGTGGTCACGCTTTTCGGTTCGGTATATGTTGATTGATACACCGAAATCCCATAAAAATATATTAAATGAATGAAAAAAAGGGTTCAAACAGTTCAGAGTCCCCTCCCCATTCAGATGCCAAAGATGAAAGAAACGGCAATGGCCGCCACAAATAAATACATGATACTTACAAGNGAAACTAATCAATAGCTGCTGAGCAACCAGCAGAGGAAAAGGAGGTGAAATCTCACACTTTCTTTCTAATTAGCTGCTGGAGACAGAAAAAGATGCGGATTCCAGACGGAACTCACCAGAGTAAACATCCCAGATCTTAATGCGACCATTGTTCAGGCCTGTGGCCAGCAGTAACTGGTCTTCGCCAAACTTGAACCGGTGCCACTCGATGTTGACACAGCGGCTCTGCTTCTCCGGCACAGAGGAGCCGAAGGCAAGACCCCAGACTATGTCCCCACAGTCGATGGTGTGTTCACGGGCTTCATCAGCTAGTGCGACAGTAAGGCCTCCATCGCTGTTTTGACGGGACAAACGCCTGGGACTAGTTGGAATGGTACCTTCTTCACCAGCGCTCACAGAACTAAAGAAGATTGAGGGGAATACAGATGGGGATGGTTAGAAAGGTGCAAGGATTAAGAAAGACTTGAGACTAAATGATTAAATTCATATTATTAAGAACTCAATTAGCCACAGATTCCCAGATAAGACCACCAATCAATACTGGTTCAAAATGACCGGTTTGGACGACTCACTGTCATCTTTCAGGACCCACTTTACTCTGTTATTACCATAGCAACATGTCAGCAGGTTCATCGTGTAAAGCTTCTAAAGCAGAGGGACAAACTTCAACCTATTTATGATCAAAATGTGGCTCAATTGGTCTGGAGCTGCACCAGTCGATTGTTCTAGAAATCGACTATTGCATCGAACAATCAATCAATCTTAAAAGAGCCGTTTTGTAAATTTATAATATAAAAAATTTGGGAATAAAGAAAAAACACTTTGTGCATTTTAATTAATTGCAAATGAAAAAACAAGTAAAAAATAAAATAGACATTTCTACATATTTAATTACACACAAATTAATAAAGAAAACATTTAATATTTAATAGAGAAAATATATTCTACGTTTATGAGAGTTTTTAGTTTATATCTGTAGTTTTGCCTTAATTATTGCTGCAAATAAGTTATTCTTTCAGCAAATGGCATGTTTTACAGTCAGTCTACCATTAATCTAAGTTCGGTTCACGGTTTCGTGGTCACGCTTTTCGGTTCGGTATATGTTGATTGATACACCGAAATCCCATAAAAATATATTAAATGAATGAAAAAAAGGGTTCAAACAGTTCAGAGTCCCCTCCCCATTCAGATGCCAAAGATGAAAGAAACGGCAATGGCCGCCACAAATAAATATATGATACTTACAAGCTCCTGAGACAGCTAGTCCAAGGGATGAGTCTGACAATGCGATGTCCCTGAGACCAAGCAAAGTAGGAACCATTTGGTGCAAAGGCTACAGTCCAGGTCTCACGTCCAGACTTCTGGTCAAAGGGAGCAGCAGGGACCAGGAGTTCACCGATGAACTTCGCCTTGTCTGAAGGAAACAGAAACAACACGTTTTGTTATGGAAAGTGCAACAGAACTAGCAGTCCAAAATCAAAACAAAGGCTAATCATTTAGCCTCAAAGTGCCACACAGCACCAAAAAAAAAAGAAAAGAAAAATGAAAAAAAGAACATGTGAATCCAGAACAGACCCATATGGAGAAACTAAGAGGATGACTTGTTGTGAATTGCACCGATCCATATAAACAAAGCCTTTGATGGTTGAAAGTCACAACACAGTTGGTTTCAGAATTACTGGAATGTTCTGTCTTCGTTTGGATAATGAACTTTTAAATGGTTCTATAACTGCTGCTTGCATAACTATTCACAGAACCAGTTTCAGATGCTTCGCTTAGATAATGTGTTAGGAATGCTAACATTGGGAGGCTTTCCTTATCAGGCCTGTGGATCGCAGGGTTTTTCACTGTACGTGTTTACAGCTACAGGCAGCATGGAGCCTGTCGATGGGGCCAAGCCCTGTGGGGCCAAGGCCAAAAGCATTCAAAAATCAATAAAAAAAAAGGCAATTTCCCTTTTCTCCGATTATCTCAGTGTTGCGTTTAGCTAAAATAGAAGAAATGGATTAAAGTGTAAAAGGTTAACATAACAAACTGTACAGATTCGATGTCGAATGTCCTTCGTGTTTAGCTAGCTGATAAGAGCCTGACTAAATGCTTTCCATCAGAGGTATCCTCTATAAAAACAAACAAAAAAAGTGCCATGATTAAGGCCGATGCAAGGAACCGGGCGCCATGATGAAGCGATGCGTGAACTCCCGCCTGCGTTAGCGGGATCTGGAGCCCAGAAACTGGCTCTTTATCGGCTCACATTCAGGTACTAACTCCAGCTGGGATGGCTCTCCATCCAACCCGCACTTCACGCAGGTAGCTGGGGGGATATTTACAAGGAAAATACAACTTTACAATAAACACTTAAAACAATGACAGGATTTTTTAAAGCGCTTCGCAGCAGATAAAACTAAACCCGATACAATTTCGCGTTTTCAGAAAACCTGTCTACGTGACATTGTCCCGAGCGACATAAAGCAGAAAGCTACTTACCTAAATCATTTTCATTTACACAGTCCGGGAAGCTGGCCATCTAAATAAGAGCACCGACCGAAGAAAACAGCTGAACAACGAAGAAAACACCAAAAGATTTGAAAGAGATCAAATGGTCCGGTAGCGGAACAACGCCTTCTTTTCACAGACACAAAACTTAAATGAATCCTTCCGCAAAAGAAGAGCGGTAGGCGGAAGGATATCGTCCTCCTAGTTAAAATACAGTCCCCGTAAAATATGACGTAGATAATCTTTTTCTATCAAATGGTAGAGGAAATAAGATTTCTATGTCGTTCCACTCATTGGAACAAAAACATCTGAAGTTTAAATAATGTAATTTCAGCCGATCATTGCAGAAGGCGTGATTTGGGAAAGGTATATTTATTCACAGAACTGGTATGGTTATGGCACGACGAGTCTAACGTCACCACCGTTACCATAGTGACACCAATAGCACCTCCCCTCGTTGTTGTTTTTTTTGCCCTACAACTTTATTGTACCTTTTGGTTTTATACTCAAACAAGAAAAATTATGAAAGGAGGAAATGAATTTGAAGTTGTGCAATATCAAAATGACTCTCGTAAAGAGAGTGAAAGCTAATGAATGTGGGAGAAAGTTTAATAAATTAACACTTACGAACACATTAAAGCCACTGGAAAAAAAAAAACAAGAAACAAAAGTTTAATAAGTTCAGACTCCAAGAAAAAAATAGTTAACATACATTTTTTCTGATATTTATGGTATCTGTGTTTGTAATTATAATGTGTCACTTTTAAAAGTAACACATTTAATCTTTGCACATTTAATCCAATCTCAGCGTATTGGATTTACTGAAATGGTAACAAGTAACAGAAATATTCATAATCAGTTATGTCTTTTCAACATGTTCAGGGCATTTGCAGGGTCACAGGAGAGATAATTGGTGCACGGTTCCAGCAGCCATAAACCAGAACTGTCCACACCCTGGCAACCCTGGCTTAGAATAATTCATGTACAAATGGGGCCATAAGGCACAGACAAAGTCTTACCGACATTTCCTGCCCAAAATCTGCTTTTATAACAAATTAAATAATAGAATTGATAGTTTGAAACCAAAAAACCTCTTTCTCCTTCAGGCGAAATTCAAATGTCAGAACTAAAACACTGAAGGCAAATTCCACTTGTTTCAGTTCAATCCAAAAATACTTAATTGATTCCAAAGTAAAAACTGAATATTGTTGTAACTCTAATAGAGTTTTCAATTAGTTATTGTAGCTGTAGACAAGGTTTTTCATCAGTCTGATAACCCCAAGGTTGATCACAATGACTTTAACAACTTTTATTATTTGGTATACACAGAGTGAAAACAAAATGAATTTTTTTTAGTACAGCTTTTCAGACAGTAAATGGACGTTTCGATTCCTTAAAGTGCAGCAGTGTTTAAATGTAAACAGTGTGGGAGAAAAAACATGGTGCAAAAAAATGGTTGATATGGAAGTTCAGAGCATTGGATATATATGGTGCAAAGATGCAGTGTTTTTGGTTTAGCGTTATCAGTGTGATGCAGTCAGACATGATTTTTTTTTTAAACAGTTCTTTTTAACATAATTTCCTGAGGTTCTACAGAAGTTCACGGACAGATTGTTGAGCTTTTTTCAACATTTCTTCTGATTTTGTTTCTAAAATATCTCAGCAGAAGAGATTACTCTCTTCACAACAGACTAATAGAAGATTTGCAGCATCGCCAAAGGACCTACGTTTCCTTCAGAGGTACACCCTGCTCTGGCCCTTTTTGCGCACTGCTTTACACTTGTATATCCAGTCTAGTCTGTTGTCTGGATGAATTCAATTCAATTCAGTTTATTTCTATAGCTCCAATTCACATCTTGTCATCTCAAAGCACTTTACAGTTCACCAGAACATTCAGTCAGATTGATTTAAAGTTTTCTATCTAAGGAAAACCAGTTGATTGCATTGACTAATTGACTCAAATGCAATCCCTCACACTAAGCACGCTTGTAGCGACAGTGGAGAGGAAAAACTCCCTTTGAACAGGAAGAAACCTCCAGCAGAACCAGGCTCAGTGTGAGTGGCCATCTGCTGAGGCCGACTGGGGTTCAAGGAGACAGAAGCAGAGATACAAAAAGCAGCTGTTAAAGGTCCAGGAAACACACAGCCAGGCAGACGAGCTCCGAGTCAGCTCTCATGTCAGAGGATGAAGAGAGCACATCCAGCCAACACGATGAACACTGAGATATTTACCGTTACATCCCCAAGATCTGTATAATTTAGTTTTTTGCACTGAATTAACACCTTGCTCTGTGTTAGGCTCAGCCTCCATGATTGGATGATGCTTCCTGAGTCTCAGCCCAATCAAGATCACCTCCTCACTACTTAAGGCCTGTGAAACTGTACCTCAGAGCCTCTGGGCCATTTTTCCGCCATACACCTCTGTGGTTGTTATAGCATCTAATGGGCTGGTAATTTGCTGCCATGTCAACCTGCTCAGATTGTTTTTGTTGGGTACAGCTGCCTTTTTGTTTATCCCCAGTTTTCTCCTGTTTGTGTGGTTGTTAGTTAGGTTATTTTGTAGGTTTGTATATTTTGGTTTTATTTTGAGTTAAGTCCACTTTCCTTTTTCTTTTAGGGTTGTTTTTTATACCTAAGCTCTCCCTGAACCCTTTACCATTATTTATTTAAAAGAAATGGCAGAATAAACCTTTTTCAATGTCTTTTTGACTTCCTGATTCCCTGTCTATATTTATGTAGGTCCCTCATGCCTCCTAAACCCAGCCAGGGGGTGTAACATCTACATTCCTCCACTACCTGCAGTTCTCCCATCATGTTAATGTGTTGGACCTACTCTTGATCCTGCTGAACCTACGATCATCTCCCCTGTTTTGCTCACATTCAGGATCACCTGCCCTCACCCATCCTCCCCAACTTCTACAGAAGCACCATAGAGAGCGTTCTGACCAGCTGTCTCACTGTGTGGGGTGGAGGCTGCAGTGCCTCAGACTGGAAGAAGGTGAGGAGAGTGGGGAGAACAGCAGAGAGGATCATGGGGGCTCCTCTTCCCTCCATAAAAGACATTTCATCCCAGCGCTGCGTGTCTTGAGCCCATAACATTATCAATGACCCCTTACCCCCCCACCATGTGCTGTTCTCTCTGCTGCCCTCTGGGAAGAGTCTCCGAAGCATCCGATGCAGGTCCAGCAGATTCCAAAACAGCTTTGTCCTTACTGCAATTAGACTGTGAAATGTTGAATAAAATGGGGGGAAAAAACGCTGAATGTTGGAAAACTGTAAATCATATCTCTCTGTCTTATGTTTACATCTGATCACCATGTTTACATTTTTTCACTGTTGCACTTACAGAAATGGAAATGTCTTGTAAGCTGTACTGAACGAAATTTCATTTTTTATACATGTGTGTACAAAACAACAATAAAGTTTGTCTAAGTCTAATATCTGATACAATCAAAGAGAACAGAGTCATCTGAGTATTTCTGCAGATAACAGGAGTCTGTCTTGTATTGGAAAGGTGAAGGCATACAAGAAAAGGTTGAGAGTAATGTAACCTGTTTAGAAGCATGCAGATGTACACAAATCTAAAACCAGGTAAAAGGAGTTAGAAACTTCACAGTAAAAGGAAATTTACAGTGTAAGGAGACATACTGAGAAGTTAGGATCTAACTAAAACAAAGTAATCATTTGAAAAATGTACAAAATGTGCTTGATGTTGCAGTTCAGTGCTGGATCTTTTCCCGCCCCCATCCTAAGACGTCTGTTCCACTGGTTCAGAACAACAACAAACTAACTACTAGCTTGTGACCAAATCAAAATACTGACATGACTGTATCCTGTGACACTGACAAAAAAGTTATAATTCAGGGCTGCAACAAACTGAGGCTGTAGAGCATTTCACGAGAACATTCTGGCAACTCTTCTTGAATACCTGCTGTATGATTTGCCTGCGTTTCATTCACACTTCCCCTCTTATAGAGACACATCCTGGACATATATTAAGGTGGTAACTCCTGCTGAATAAGGTGTGCAAGTGTGTGACTTTCCACAGAATTGACTTTAGAAATTTATTTTCAGCTTTCCTATTGGCCCCAAAACTAAATAACAAACGATAAAGTTGAACTGGTCTTGAATGCTGTGATTCAGGTTAGGTGTGTTTTCAGAGCTTCAGCTTTTCTATTCAGGGAGAAAAATACTCCCTCAGCTCAATCTGAGGGAGTCAACAACATTGCGAGTCTAACATTCCTCACAGCTATTCTTAAACACCCAGACAAGCCACATTCCTCCACATACATTTGCAAGAGCATACATGTTTTCCTTCTCCGATGCACATTGGTTCACACACATTAACTATACCCTTCAGAGTGGAAAACAGTATGTAGATAAACCGGGTGAGGTCAGAGCTGAGGCACAGCTGGGGTCAGATCTTCATCTCCTGGTTTTATAGACACCCAGCAGCAGAGAACTGCGGGGCTGATGGTGAGACTGGGTGAGAGCAGCAGCACATGTGGCCTCAACTATATTAATCTGAGGGGAACAACCTTAAAAAAAAGATTGAGTTGGTCCCTATCATAGCTAACTGTATAGTTATGTTGCTATGGGCTTAGACTGCTGGAGGACATAGGGACCCCTCTTTATTCTGCTTCATTCTCGCTCTATTCTCTCACTCTGCAGAATCTGTTAGTTCAATCTTTAATGTTATGCTGCCTCTGCTTTTTCTCATAGCTTTGCCTTGTCTGTTCCTGTTCTGCTAGGACACCATCCTGGAGGGAAATATCAGCTGCCATCAACACCGTTGTTTATAGATGTTGGAGATCTGTCTGTTTTTCAGTGTAGACCTGTTTCTCTGACTGTGACTGGCTGGGTGTGCCCTCTGCATCCTCTGACACGGGAGCTGGCTCAGAGATTGTGTGCCTGGCTGTGTGTTTCCTGGATGGGGCCGCCTTTTACTGTTGCTTTTTGTATCTCTGCTTCTGTCTCCTTGAACCCCAGTGGGCCTCAGCAGATGGCCGCTCACACTGAGCCTGGTTCTGCTGGAGGTTTCTTCCTGTTAAAAGGGAGCTTTTCCTCTCCTCTGTCGCTACAAGCATGCTTAGTGTGAGGGATTGTATTTGAGTCAATGAGTCGATGCGATCAACTGCTTTTCCTTAGATAGAAAACTTGAATCAATTTGACTGGATGATCTGGTGAACTGTAAAGTGCCTTGAGATGATGTTGTGAATTGGTGCTAAATAAACTAAATTGAATTAAATTGCGACCCCAACCCTTTTACAGCGGAACAGAAGACCTTGCCTTTTCAGCCAGGCCAACAATTTCCTTTATCGAAACCCCTTTCAGATACACAGACAGGTATGGGGCATTGCAGGCTAACAAAAGAAGCCAAACGACCCCCATTCCAAAGGGGTGGACCCGTTTCAACGTCTTCAAAGTTGGAAACAACGTCCACTGGATTGTTTTTTTTTACTTTTTTGATACAACCTCAAAAAATAAACTTAATTCAATCAGCCTTAGCCAACTAATATGCAGGAAGTCATGCACAGAGGGCCATGGGGTGCCAACAAGTCAAGAGTTTAGGACAGAGGGGAGTCATTCCCAGAAATCCTGGGAGGACGACCAGAAAAAAAGACAGTCTCACTGGAATAGATGTCAGGCTTAAATATGCACCTAGCAGATGTAGGGTAGGGTTGAGATAGAACCACTGCACATAATCTACCCAGGATAAATATATCCGTACAGGGCCACCTCTACACCCTTTACTACAAGATACTCAAGGGTCATGAGTGTTTGCCTTGCTATAAATGTGCTTTGTAAGAAGCATTTAACATATCCCCTGGAGTTTCCTATAAACACTGTCTAGTCCCCTGTCTCTCAGCCTTAGTTAGGTCAGACCTGTTCCCATGGGTGTTTCTACTCTAGCAGGTTCTTCCCTCCATCACTGGCCCTGCAAAGGTGCTGCAAAGAGATGGAGGGGACCTGGTCTGGGGTCCAGCAGATTTGATCTCTGCAGTTTGCAGGTGACATGGTTCTACCTGACATCCTCAAAGACCAACAAACATCCACTGGAGTGGAAAATGTAAAGACAAAGTTCAGAGGTCATGGTTGGTGGCTACAGTAATGCAGACGCTGCACTGGTTGGTTGTAGTGAAGAGAGAGCGGAACCTTTTGGATCAGCTCTTGATTTACCAGTCGGTCTTTCTTTCTACCCTCACCTATAGCTTTCCTCTCAGGGTGGCTGGGTGCTACCTTAGGGATGAGGAGAGGAGATTGGGAGGGGCTCAGAGCAGAGGCACCACTCCTCCATATGGATATGAGTCAGCTGAGGGGGGGCTTTGGCATTTATTCTGTATGCACCCTCTGTAAGGCACTGTCACATTTAGTTTGTACAACATGATCGAGATATAACTTAATCAGAGAGAAAAAATTTCATCGATAAAAAACTGAAGAAAGAATGACAGAAACATTGATATGGGAAAATAAAAGGAAGTTGGCTTTATTGGATAATTAAAAAATAAATATTAACAGGAGTAAAGAGAAGAAAAGAAGAAAATGTATTATGAAGTCTGAGATTCGGCAAATAGAAATTAAATTTACACTTTAGAAAATAAAAAAGACAAACATTTTATATTAGACTGTCTGAAATGTGAGCATGAAGGAAGATTTATAATGATAGATTTTTAAAGGAGCAGAAAAAGTTTAACAGAATGAGTATGTTGTAAATAAACCTATAAATAAACATAAATTATTAATCAATACAAAAAAACATAAATTGATTAATAACATTTAATCTTAGGCTATATACTTACACACAATGTATATTAAAAATAAAAAAAAAATCTTCATTCTCACTCTGTACAAGACAGTGGCTTTTATCCATGCCTTATGTCTCCTATCATCTTCCTAAGAACTAGTAGATGAGGAAGAGGAGGCCCAAGAAGAGGATCAGGAGAAAACAGCCAATACTGTTGGAAGTTAAACTTATAGATACGATTCACAACTCTAAGCTCCTCTGGGATAGATCAAAGTAAGAAAGACTTCCATATTAATAAAAGCCTAGCTGTTAGCTTCTTTACAGTCTATTTCTATGAGAGGTCTTTTGTGTCAAATGTAAGATATTTGTGTAGTTCAATGTTAATGTAAATCCCACTATTAACTGCCTTCTTTCTTTACATTTTATCATTTTGATTTCAATTCAATTCAGTTTATTTCTATAGCGCCAATTCACAACACATGTCATCTCAAGGCACTTTACAGTTCAACCAGATCATCCAGTCAGATTGATGAAGTTTTCTATCTAAGGAAAACCAATTGATTGCATTGACTCATTGACTCAAATACAATCCCTCACACTAAGCATGCTTGTAGCGACAGTGGAGAG